AATGCTGTTCCTGTTAGTAACTCACCAATCAAACCTTCGGAGCCTCAAGCTCCTGCTGACCCCGAGCCGCCACCTATTTTTGTTTCCAAAATTGAAAATTTCATGACATTTGGTCAAGAAATTGCCGATCTGATAGGACAGACCAATTTTCGCTGTTATTCCCGGGTAAACGACATAAAAATTAACACAAATTCAAGAGTTAATTATAAAACACTAATTGACTACTTCACAACTAAAAACTACGATTTTCACTGTTATCAGTTGAGACAAGAAAAGGCATACCGAGTGGTCTTGAGAGGCCTACACTCAACCACCCCTATATCCGTTATCAAGTCTGGCCTGGAAGAAATAGGTCACAACGTTAGGCATATTTCATGCGTATTACATCCAACGCAGAAATATCCATTACCTTTATTCTTCATTGATTTAGAGCCTGCTAATAATAACCTCGAGATATTTCAAGTTAAATTTGAAGAACCTAGGCACAAACCAGTATTAGTGCAATGCACTAAGTGTCAAGAATTCGGGCACACAAAGACCTATTGCCATCATCAGGCCAGGTGCGTAAGATGTGCCGGCTTACACGCATCTAACACATGTCAGAAACCTCTAGACCAGCCTCCTAAATGTGCTCTCTGTGGCGAAGACCACCTGGCTAGCTATAAGGGATGCATAGTCTACAAAAATCACCATAAGCTACGATCTCGGAACATGGCCTTAAAAAGCATTCAACATAATCAACAAAATTACACCGACCCACCAGAAATTGGAAATATTTCAAATTTTCCAGAATTGCCGACAAAAACTACTCATGTCACACAACAGGAAGCGTCTACTTCAACTGACTTCTATCATCCTCCTCAGGACTCCAGCAAAACTTACACACAAACCACTATCAAGAAGCAGGAACCTCGAAGTCAGGCGCCTTGGACCTCCTAATCCAAACCTCATACTCCCAATCCTCAATCTCATCCTCCCCGTCAGCAAATTCCCCCTCATCATCTACCCCTACGAGTAAAATTACCGCCACAGTACCCTCAGCTACCTCAACCTAATGTTCAGAAAACAAAAACCGCACAAGCACCTTTGATTCCAGACCCTCCTCTTATACAACGACGGATGCCGCCCTTAATTAACACTAATAACCCGCCACAAGAACCTACCCTAAACTCACTTCACAACCAACATCCATCTGATATAACTGCCATTCTTTCATCCTTCCTATTGGACCTCCAAAATACTATAAAACCTCTTATTACTCTCCTCACAAGAATCCTTACCGAAATTCCCTTTAATCTCTCACGATGAGTACAAAGCCCCTAGCTGTTCTTTTATGGAATGCTAATGGACTACACAACCACCGAGACGAACTTGACATTTTTCTTCATGACTACCACATTGATATTGCTCTACTGACAGAAACTCACTTCACACAACGTTCATATTTCTACATACGTGACTACATCACTTATAGATCTGACCACCCCGACAACACTTCCCATGCCAGTTCTTGCATCCTTATCCATAAATCCTTATCCCATTCTTTCATTCCTTCTACTCCAACTGAGGCTATTCAAGCAACTTCAGTAATCATTTCAACCCGTCCTTTCCATTTAACACTCTCAGCTTTATACTGTCCTCCTGGTCATACTCTTACCTACAACTTACTTGAATCCTTATTTCAATCCTTCGGATCGCGCTTTATTGCAGGAGGAGACTATAACGCTAAACACCAACGATGGGGTTGTCGAGCATCCAACTCCCGTGGTAACATACTATCTTCTCTCTCAACTTCCAATAGTTACTCTGTCCTATCTCCTATGAATCCTACCTATTGGCCAACTTCCCTCAGAAAACGCCCTGATATCCAGGATATCCTGGTATCCTGGCACGAATACTGGTTTGTGCCTAGGTTCTTCAAATTTAACTTGAAATATACTACAATTCCATACTACAATTAGGCTTTCTGTTCCAAGTACGAAACTTCCATCCACCCTTCAACTATGCTACCCGACACAGAGTACTTCAATGTGATCTTTGTTAAAGCAGTTGAAGACTGTCCTGCAATATAAGATAATGATATAATGGATATAAACAGAAGATGCAAGAGGCACATGCATCCTTGGTGTGAAAGCTCTTTCATCAAGACGCACATGCATCCTGCATCCAGGATGCATGCATCTTGCATTTTGCATCTTCAGTGTGAAAGGGGTCTTAGAGTTTATAGAAAAAATGATCGGATATAGCGACAGTCAGCCCTCAGAACTCCTAAAATCTTCGTATTTATATCTCGCATAACTAGCAAATCTTTTATTTCATTCCTTCTCTATGCTCTATATGTAGGCATCACATTTATATGATCAATTTCATTCCCACTCCCCACTCTTAGCATTAAATTCATATCTATATTTAGTATCATATAAGATACAATATATATATAAGAATATCTGTTAACAGTATATAAGGTGATTATAAAAGATATCAACTGTTGATTTATTTCCAATTTGTTTAAAACAATATTTACACACCAAAAAAGTTCCTAACTTTAGAAATTTTTCCTTGACTTTTCCCTGTATTAGTTCATTCTATACTCTATGGTGATGCTTTAACACTCTCAGCCATTCATTGCCTCAGTAGACCCATCTCTATAAGTGGAGGAATAAGAACAAAAGGAGGGAGGCTCTTTCAAATAACTGTTACTTAAAATGATGATGAACTAACAACTGTTAGAGACATGAGTAATATGATATTTATCTAAATAAATTTAAAAATAAAAAATAAAAATGCAAAATAATTTTTTTGCTATAATTGAGTATTATAACAATCTGTCAGTTGGACATTGGTTATAGAGAGGTAGGATGACATTCACACTATATGTACAAAAAAATAAAATAAATAGAACAAAATAATAATCAAAAGTATATACAATAGACAATAAAATAAAATAACCTAAAAAATAAGAAAATTAAAACTAAGGAAAAAAAAAAAAAACACATGCATACCTATATACAATCAGGCGAGGGAACTCCAGGAGAACCCTGCGCTACTCTCCCAACCGCGTCACTGGTACTAAAGCCAGCGGAGATTGGTCGAGAGCACTTTAGCCACATACACACATGTCTTGAGTGAAGAATCTGGCCATTGCCAGAACTCCAATTTATATAATCTACAAAAGGTCGCGAGGCCACTGCCGTTTCAACCTTCTTGGAGGATTATAGGGATGGGAGATGCTTGATAGGGATTGTGCAAGAGGATTTGGGTGGTAAGTAAGGTTCTGGTGAAATTTGGAGAATTTTTCTGGGATAAGGTCTAGGACAAATGGGATGTTAAGGTCATGATGTAGGGTTTTGTTGGATACATAGAAAGGAGCATCGACTATTGTTCGAAGGACTTTAGACTGGAAGGATTGGATGCGCTTGATGTTAGAAAATTTTGCTGATCCCCACAGTTCTAGTCCGTAAGTCCAAATAGGTTTCAGTATTGTCTTGTAGATCAGTAGCTTGTTTTCAATGGAAAGTTTAGATTTTCTGCTTAGTAGTCGGTATAGTTGGCCGTATCGTCGGTTGAGTTCTTGTCTTTTGAGTCTAGTATGCGGGTTCCAAGTTAGTCTTCGGTCTAAATGAAAGCCAAGATACCGGACTGTGTCTGAATAAGGAAGCTGGATGGAATTAAAGAGTACTGGTGGACAGGAATTGCGTCGGAGTGTAAAGGTAATATGTTGGCATTTAGATTCATTAACTTTAATGCGCCAGTTATTACACCAGTGCTCAATCAAGGTGAGGTGACTTTGGAGATTTAAGGATGCTATTTCGGGATCAGAGTTGGATGATAAGATTGCGGTGTCGTCAGCGAATGTTGCAAGAAAAGTATCGGGATGAACAGGGATGTCAGCAGTAAAGAGGATGTAAAGCACGGGACCCAAGACGCTGCCTTGGGGAACACCGGCTTTAACGGAGTAGATATTGGAAAATTCTGTTCCACAGCGAACTCGAAAGGAGCGGTCAGAGAGGTAGGATCGGAGGACTAGGTACAAGGACTGAGGTAAATGGATTTTAAGCTTGGAGAGCAGTCCGGAGTGCCATACCCGGTCAAATGCCTGTGCAATGTCCAGAAAGGCACCCGAACAGTATTCCTTGTTTTCTAGGGCTGAGGAAATATGATCAACAACTCGGAGTCCTTGTTGAACAGTAGAATGTTGAGAGCGAAAACCAAACTGATGGGAAGGGATATTTTGGGATTCTATAATGGGTAGGATTCGTTTCAAAAGGATCTTTTCAAAAATTTTTGAAAGGATTGGGAGTAGGCTGATTGGTCTATAGGATGTTGAGCTATTGAGAGGTTTTCCTGGTTTTGGGAAAAGGATAATAGTGGAGTGTTTCCATAACAGAGGGAAGTGGGTGGTGCGTAGGATACAATTGTAGATATATGTAAGGAATATGACTGCTTTGGATGGAAGTTGTCGAAGGATTTGAGGTGTAAGGAGATCATGTCCAGGAGCTTTACGGAGGATTAGTTTTTTTAATTGAAATTTTACTTCGGAAGGATGAATAGCTTTTGGGGGCAAGGAAAGTGGGATTGGTGATGTAAGGAGTTCTTCTACTGTTACGGTGTGGGCAGGATGGGATTCCGGATGTGAAATAAATGTATTGGATAGGTGAATGGCGAACTCCTCAGCTTTATCTTCGTCAGATGCTGCCCAGGAGCCATCACCTCGTCGGAGAGGATGGGAAATGCGGTGAGGATTTAGGATTTTTGTTGTGGTTTTCCAAAGGGAATTGTCGCGAGAAGAGAGGGAGGATAGGTAGGAGTTGAAGGATTGTGATCTGAAGGTGGCTAATTCCAGTTTTAATTGTTTGCAGTAGTAATTATAGGAGCAGCGGTCAGTAGGATGTCGGGTACGTTGCCATAATAATCTGGCACGGCGTTTGGTGTGGATTAGGTTAAGGAGGTGTTGGGGTAGAATGGTCTTTATGCAAAATAATTTAAAAAAAAAAACTTACTTTATTGATCATTTCAGGACTCCCAAATACATATATAATAATAGGTGAAATAAGAGCAGTCACAAAAACACTAAGAGAACGTTTCTTTATAATCGATGGATGGTTTCTGGAAAAAAAAGAAAAAGATATACGAATAAATTAATAATTTTATCACAGTAAAATACTTTTGAAGAAACATTAATAAAACTTAATTTAATCAATACACAGTGTGAATCACAAGCAGATGACAATAATCAAGAGACTCGATGCCTTACTAAAGTGAACTAAGAAATTTTACATTTTTCTTTTTTCTAAAAAACAATAAACAGTCTCATATTTCTGCTGGAATAAAGTATAATCTAACCATAGGTTTGTATTCTACATTAGATTAACTTTTAGGAAATGAAGAGAAAAAAAATCAATTTAAAGTAAAATAAAAATTACTTTAAATTTTTTAAATTTTCACTTGGCTTTAACTTTCTAACAACATCCGGTATAAAGCTCTGAATTCACTAAGAAACATTTTTACAAATTTTACTACCTCATTGACACAGTTTAACACAAGTGGAATTATGACAACTATAATTTAAAAAACCATGATTTTTTAATTTTTTTTTTAAATACAAAATATATAGGTCTTCAAAACAGTTAATTAATTAATAGTACTATAAAATTTAAATAATAATAAGTACTCAACAGTTCATATAAATAAAAAAAAACTATTAGGTAATATTAGACTGTTTATATTTTATGAAGATAATGGTGTTGTCCCATTTGCGAGCCACAAATCAAATTAATTACAAAGCAGGCTACAAGTTTTTCAAGTGCTAGCATGGAAGAGGACTTCTCAGTTGTTATAACAGAGCTGGGTAAAATTACTGACGACATAAAATACATCAAAAGAACCGTCGATAAACAAGCAACTACGACATCATCTATGCATCGGCCTATACATAAATTTTGATCTTGATGCATAATTATATACCGATTGGAGCAATTTGTTGCTCTAGCATTGAGTGGATCCCATTGTTAGCATGAAAAAACAGGATCAAAACGTCGAATAAATAACAGGATCGATTAACATTTTGTAGGTTTATTGAATAATAATGAAGTGAACTAATTCTTAATTTAAATAATTACGTTAAAATATAATACTCAAAGGTCGATTGAAGACATTTTGTAAAATTTTATATATATTGTAATGTACACCTTTATTGGAAGTGAGTAAAAAGGGTTTAATAAATTAATGTTCAACAATTAAAAGGCAAGCTAATCTAGTTCTACTAGTGCAGAGAAAAAAAAATGGCTGCTCTGTAGTTTCCCAAGAAGGAAAATTCCAAAGAGGAGAGGGACAAAGGTTTTTGTTTTGGCAAGCAGTTAATGTGTGGTTGAAGAGAGGTTAGGAGAAGGTATCCTGGCCCCACGGGGTAAAACCCAATAAGAGTATTACCACCTTGAAAGTTGTTGTTTGGCAGAGAGACTAGTTGTTTGGAATTACAAGAGAGAGGATCTCCCAGGAAGCTTGGGTTGAGTAGAAGAAAGTGTCACTATTTAGGAAGTTGTGTTTGGTAGAACATTGGAAAGCATTTGAAGACAAATGAATTTAGTGCAATAAAGGAAGAAACAGTATATATAGAAAAAAACTTAGCTTGCCAATCCATACTTGACTTTATTTTAAAATCAGTGTTTAATATTTTAGTACAAATAGTGTAAATAATAGTTTGTCTGAGTTGATCTGATTGTCAGTAACCCACACCTGAGATAAATAAATATACTAATTATCTTATAATTTTGTTTATTATTAAAGAATCTCTTATTTATTTAGGAAGTATTCCAATGGTAAGAAGTGAGCTTCCGAGGTTATATTATTATTATTTGTATATATATATACATACATATATTGTAAAGTACACCTTTATTGAAAGTTGATAAAAATGGTTTGATAAATTAATGTTGAACAGTTTGTCGAGGTATGTAAAAAGCAGAAAGGCAGTATATGCAAGTTATCAGAAGGCCTCGACAGTGCGTGTTCATTATTGAGAGGATAGAGATGACTGAATGGTTGAAGGAAGTTGATTAGATGGATAGCCTCGAGTGACAGGCGGATCAGCACCCAATCACTCTCGGCTTGCGGTGTAAGGGATCAGCCTTAAAACTCCGCAAGGATGGTAACTACAACAGGAGGGATCAAACTCCGGACTTGTGGGAGGATGAGATACTGCCGGAGGGATCAATCTCCAGACACAGTATATAGGACTGCAAGCAGACGGATCAGTGTCCAACTTACATGGAGATAGAGAAGAGGAAAAAGGTATCAGGTAAATGTTAAATAAGAATAGCAGACTATTGTGAACCAAAAGAGTATATGGGACATATACTGACCAGTCTACACCCTGAAGGGGTGAAGCTCCGTAGAACTGACAATTTGAGGTTTGACTGGCGTATTCATTCCGCCAAGACCAAACCGGCTACCAAGAGCCGTCACTATAACAGTTATTTTGAGCTTTAGTCAGTATATGTTATCGCTATTAAAATTTATTAATAAAAAGTATTTACAATTAATATGCATATTTCAATTTACAATTTAAGTATTTTATAATACAACAATAAGAAATAAAAGATACAATTTTAGTATGTTGCACGGGCGAGCTTGTAGAGTGCTGGCTGGTAGCGGGAAGGCAAACTAGTTGTGCCATGTGGCAAGACAGGAAATTATGCCGGAAACAGTTGCCGTGGGAATCTGTCGCCACTACAAATTAAAAGGCAAGCTACTCTAGTCCTGCTAATGTCAGGGGATGTTTAAATTTAAAAATCTGGTGCGTGCATCACACGACTCTCACTTACCACCCTCTTCTTAGCAGAAATAAGGATTTTCAAACAAAGGAGAAGTGAAAGTAAACATTATTGACACTATATTTATTTACAATCCATTGTGGGTATTTTTATTTGTTTATATACTCTTATATATAGCATTTCCAAGTCAATTTCAACCTTTTCCAAATCAAATTGAACCTTTTCCATTTCAAATTTCACTTTCGACTTTTTGTCAATTTTCGATTTTTTTCGAAATTTTAAGATTACCCCACTGCGTTTCGACTTATTTAAGTTTTTTGATTTATTTGATACAAGGATGCATTCTTATGTTTTCCGAGCCGTAGATTTTGAAAACGACCTCCATTTTAAGATTAGGCCACCGCGTTTCGATTTCTTTGAGTGTTTCGAATTTTTTTCATAAAAGGGTGCATTCTTATGTTTCAGGAGCCGTAGATTTTGAAATCGACCTCCATTTTAAGATTAGGCCACCGCGTTTCGATTTCTTTGAGTGTTTCGATTTTTTTTTTTCATATAAGGGTGCATTCTTATGTTTCAGGAGCCGTAGATTTTGAAATCGACCTCCATTTTAAGATTAGGCCACCGCGTTTCGATTTCTTTGAGTGTTTCGAATTTTCTTCATAAAAGGGTGCATTCTTATGTTTCAGGAGCCGTAGATTTTGAAAACGACCTCCATTTTAAGATTAGGCCACCGCGTTTCGATTTCTTTGAGTGTTTCGAATTTTCTTCATAAAAGGGTGCATTCTTATGTTTCAGGAGCCGTAGATTTTGAAAACGACCTCCATTTTAAGATTAGGCCACCGCGTTTCGATTTCTTTGAGTGTTTCGAATTTTTTTCTTGAAAGGGTGCATTCTTATGTTTCAGGAGCCATAGAGTTTGAAGACGATCTCCATTTTAAGATTAGGCCACCGAGTTTCGATTTCTTTGAGTGTTTCGAATTTTTTTCATGAAAGGGTGCATTCGTATGTTTCCGGAGTCGTAGATTTTGAAAATAATCTCCATGTTAATATTACGGCTACGGCTCCTGAAATCTACGGCTCCTGAAACATAAGAATGCACCCTTTTATGAAAAAAAAATCGAAACACTCAAAGAAATCGAAACGCGGTGGCCTAATCTTAAAATGGAGGTCGTTTTCAAAATCTACGGCTCGGAAACATACGAATACAATCTTTTATGATAAAAATTCGAAACACTCAAAGAAATCGAAAAGCGGTGGCCTAATCTTAAAATGGAGATCGTCTTCAAACTCTACGGCTCCTGAAACATAAGAATGCACCCTTTTATGAAAAAAATTCGAAACACTAAAATAAATCGAAAAGCGGTGGCCTAATCTTAAAATGGAGATCGTCTTCAAACTCTACGGCTCCTGAAACATAAGAATGCACCCTTTTATGATAAAAATTCGAAACACTCAACGAAATCGAATCGCGGTGGCCTAATCTTAAAATGGAGGTTGTTATTAAAATCTACGGCTCCGGAAACATGAGAATGCACCCTTTTATGAAAAAAATTCTAAACACTCAAAGAAATCAAAACGCGGTGGCCTAGTCTTAAAATGAAGGTCGTTTTCAAAATCTGCGGCTCGGAAAACTTTAGAATACACCCTTTTATTAAAAAAATTCGAAACACTCAAAGAAATCGAAACGCGGTGGCCTAATCTTAAAATGGAGGTCGTTCTCAAACTCTACGGCTTCTGAAACATAAGAATGCACCCTTTCATGAAAAAAATTCGAAAAACTCAAAGAAATCGAAACGCGGTGGCCTAATCTTAAAATGGAGGTCGTTTTCAAAATCTACGGCTCCTGAAACATAAGAATGCACCCTTTTATGAAGAAAATTCGAAACACTCAAAGAAATCGAAACGCGGTGGCCTAATCTTAAAATGGAGGTCGTTTTCAAAATCTACGGCTCCGGAAACATAAGAATGCACCCTTTTATGAAGAAAATTCGAAACACTCAAAGAAATCGAAACGCGGTGGCCTAATCTTAAAATGGAGGTCGTTTTCAAAATCTACGGCTCGGAAAACATAAGAATGCACCCTTGTATCGAATAAATCAAAAAACTTAAATAAGTCGAAACGCAGTGGGGTAATCTTAAAATGGAGGTTATTTTAAAAACTAGGTACAGGACAGCATAATACTAGTCTCTAATAAATCCGAATAGGTACAATAAATCGATATCCGTAAGTGAAAATTCTACTTAGGCGAGCATAATAATAGACGTTCATATTGGAGAGGTGGAGGAGAGGATGGCCATTATTTAAAAAAAAATTAATGTTTACAAAAAATTAAA